CATTTTTTCATCTTGTCACTACCGTGGGGTCGGGCGATCTGCTGTATTCTGCTTCCGTGTATTCCGCTCCATGGGACGTCACCCTCAGAGATGCGAGCACAGCGTGGCGCGAAAGTCTCACAATAAATAACGAACGTGTATTCCGTTGAAATAGTTCTGTGATTGGTAATACACAGATTACGGTTACGCTCCATGTGGATCCAGTCTCACTGATGCGATCAGCTGGACACGATTATCGCCGGCTTGCTGCCATGTTGCCACCGACAATCTGACAGATGTTTGGCAGTGACATCTCTCGAGAAAGCCTGCAACTCTTTCTACACGCCATGTTGTCTTTTTCTCGTTTTCTAGCATTGGATTTTCAGACTTGCGATGATTAGAACTAATCTTTTTTTCTAGGCTATTAATCTTAGTTCTAATTGCACGATATTGTTCTTATATGTTATCCCTAGACTATCCTGGTCTCATTTTGTATATATTTATTGTAGAATTTTTATATCAAGCAAATATTGTCGTCAAGCATGCCAAAAATTAGTAAAATTTGTATTTTTGGGGGGTTTTTGATATAAAGTCGACCAGCATAGTGTAGATTTTGCTGCGTACTTTAATTCCGTACAAGAATTTTTCATTTCCATAAAGCCAATTAAAAGATTAGTTCTAAACAATAATGTCGATAAAACAGACGGCTTTAGCATCCTCTTAAGCGGCAATTGTCATGTAATGAATTTTTTTCGACAGATGTGAGAAAAAATAAGAGATTTAAAAACATTTCAACTTCTGATGATTCAGATTTCGATGAAAATGATGGTGCTAAACAAGAATTTAGATGTAAACGAAGTGCTCCTTCTCCACCACCTATCTCCTTATCACAAAATGATAAAGCTGAGGAAAATACTAAAGATAGCGAAACAAGAACTAAAATATTACAAAAGAATAAATTAAAAGAGAATAATAATACAACATCTCATCAAAATACCAAATCTCACAAGGCTCTTCTACTTAAAAAAATACGTCAAGCAAAAAAGGACACTTCCGCTGAGGATAAAAAGAAAATTTCAGTTATCATAGACAAAGCAAGGCAAAGACAAAAATGTTCGATAGAAGACAATGTAAGTTTAGTCGACATTAATGTGTGTATTGTATGACACACATGCCTCAGCGGTCGAATTGGTGAAACGCCTGCCTAGAGTGTAGGGAAGTCCAGGTTCAAATCCTGGCTGAGGTAATATTTTTCGCAACAAATTTTCTGTATTAAAACACTGGCCGGTTAATGTCGACTAAAAAAAGCTTGATTATTAATAGATGTGTTGGCTCAGAAATTATTAAACTCAGCTATTCTAAATTTTAGGCCTTCTTTATTTCTCACAGAGATCGTCCTATGGTTATACAAGCGTAAAAAAATGATTTCTTGCGGGTCGCCTCGTCGCTGCTCGTTCCTCAGCTGGTGCCTCTCTTCTCGATTTCGACTGACTGTCCGTTCTCGCTAGAGCCAGCGCTCTTTTATTTTCTTTCGAGGAAGTGCCCTCGGACAAATTCGCAGTCTCACGCATAACAGCCGATCTACGCTGTTGACGATACAGGTGTTTACGGTTTTAAACTTCTGACGGACACCTCTGAAAGTAACGATCATCCTCGCCGCTTGACAAACGATGACGAGTGATATTCTGCCCGTTACATTTTATTTGAAACTTCGGGCATATACATGAAAAATCACCTCGCTATAAGTAATTTGCTAACAGCTCGGCCATTCTGACATTTAGGCCGTCTCGGACTATCGTTATTTGAATTTATTACATTGCCGTCGAAATTCTTACAATATAATTCTCACGACTTAATATAAGGACGCATTTGATCCGGTGCCACTATACCATTATAAGGTCGTTGCGTCAATTGAAATCCGTCGACATCTGAGATTACATATCGGTCATTATCTAAAACTTTTCGTACCGCGTATGGCCCTTTAAATTTAGGTATCAGTTTTTTATTTATTCCCGGCATCGTTTCAACGTTACGGATGTCAACATAATCGCCGACCCCATATTCGCGAGCGGTTCTCCGTCTCAAATTGTAACGTTCCGTGCTCCGCTGTTGCGAATCCTCAATATTTACGTGTGCTCTGTCTCGCATTGCCTCGAGATCCCGTTCGTGATCGACATTATTATTGAGGAATTCGCGCAAAACATCGTTAGGTTTTCCTCTTTGTTCGACACCAAATAATAAACGCGAAGGTGTCTCACCGGTGGTTCGACAAAATGTATTATTTAAAGAATACTCGGCTTCGGCTAAAATGCGATCCCATTTCGAAGGTGCTTCGCTTAGTTTAGCTAACATGGGCACTATAACTCGATTGTAACGCTCGACCTGTCCGTTAGCTCTCGGAGTACTCACAGCGACAAGTACATGGTTAATTAATTCGGCCTGTAAGAATTCTTTGAACTTATCCGAGGTAAAACATGTGCCTCTATCTGAAATCAGACGTTTCGGTTTGCTATAAACTCGGAAATAATCCCGCAAGTGCTTTATCGCTTCTTCGGATGTTGTCGCTTTACACGGATACAGTCGCGTGAATTTAGTAAACGCATCGACAATCACGAGCAAATGTCGGTAGCCCATGCCGGTTTTTTCCAACGGTCCAACGTGGTCGATATGGATTGTCAAAAAGGGTAACTTTCCTTTAGGAATAGAGTGCAACATTCCCTCGGCCTTGCCATTTGATGGCGAAAACTCTATACATCGAAGGCAATTCAGAACATAATCTTTTACCTTTTCTCGCATGCTCGGAAACCAATAAACCTTTTGAATATTATTAACAGTCTTATCCACACCTACATGTCCAATATCATCATGACAAGTTCGAATCACATTCGATTCCATAACGCCTGGTACATAAAATAATAATTTCTTGTGTTTGTCCTTACGGTAGACCAAGCCGTCTCGCAACTCATAAAATTGAACATCTCCCTTTTCAAGTTCGTCGCGAATTTTTACTATCTTTTCGTCACGGTCCTGACAAATAGATAATGTCCTTTCGAAAGTGCTACCCTCGAGTACTAATATGCTGTGGCAACGGCTTAATGCATCCACGTGACTCATTCGCTTCCCCGGCCTATGTACAATTTCGTAGTCATAATTCTGTAAGAATAAAGCCCAACGCGAAATACGAGGATTAATGTCTTTTTTTTCCAAAGTAAGGCGAAAGCTATCGCAGTCTGTTATGATTTTGAATTTTAGTCCCGCTAAATAAATATGGAACCGCTTGATCGCATACACCACAGCAAGACATTCGAGTTCGAAACTGTGGTATCTCGATTCCGCGGGTGTTGTCCGTTGGCTCCAAAATGAAATTGGCCGCCAAGTACGGTCTGCTTGTCTCTGAAGCAAGATCCCACCAAAACCGCTCGCGCTCGCATCACAATGCAATTCAGTCTCGGCAATCGGCGAATAAATCGCGAGTACCGGTTTACTTGCTAGACATTGTTTTAAGACTTCAAATGCCTGATTTTCCGCAGTCTCAAATTTAAACGTTGTCCGTTTCTTAATTAAATCATATAATGGCTTAGCCAATACCGAAAATCCCGGAACGAATCTACGAAAGTAACTCGCCAAACTCACGAATCGGTGTACATCTTTCGCGGTACGGGGAATCGGATAGTCTAACACCGATTCGATGTTTTCGTCGCTGGGTCGAATGCCGTGCTTATTTACTAGATAGCCCAAGTACTTGATCTCGGTCTGGACAAAATAACATTTATCGAAACGAAACCGTAGACGATGCTTACCAGCTAATCTAAATACTTCTGATAGAATTTCGATGTGCTTCTCCATATTCTCCGTGGCAACCAAGATATCGTCAAGATAAAGTAGGACCTTACTCACTCTGACTAATGGCGAAAATACATTATTAACAAAACGCTGGAACACGCGCGGTGCGTTTGTCAATCCAAAGGGCATATAGAGATACTCGTATTGTCCCAGTGGTGTCACGAACGAAGTAAACTTTATAGATTCTTCATGCATTTTCACATGATGGAAACCGTCTTTTAAATCAAGAATGGAGAACAATCCCTTATCTTTCAGGCAATCGAGGTTATCATCGATCAATTGAGTTGGGAAATTATCACGCGTCGTTATTTTGTTCAATTCGCGATAGCACAATCGAACATCGCCGGTTTTCTTTCTCACAAGCACTATAGGGCTAGCATACGGGGAATTACTAGGACGAATAATCCCCTTTTCCAATAGGTCGTCCAAAATTTTACGCAATTGCTCTTTGTCCGCGAAAGATAGTCGTCGCGGACGCGCGCTAATTGGTTGGTCGTGCCTCAGAGAAATGACCATCTCAAAATCAGACGCACCTTTTTCGCTCTCGAGTCCCTTAAAATAGCAAGATTCGTAATTTTTCCGAATTCTATCAGCTACAGCCTCATCAATCGCCGGGTTGATCTGTAATTTATCCCGATCGGCAAGCAGATTCTCGTCGCAATCTATATTCATAATTTCGCCGATCGCACTTTCCTCGCTTGCATTGGCGATCTCGGCGGTTTTTCCTAATGTAACGCGCACGGACGGACAAGTTAAAAAATCTCGGCCCAGCAAAACCCTGTACGCCATCGTGCCATCCGGCACCGTATAAAATTTGATTCTCGAACGCACGTTTTGGACATTTATCTCACCCTGAAAAACACCAGTTATTCTAAGCCGCGCACCATTAATTCCGCAAAACCGAGTATCACTGTCGCCCATGGGCAAGATCACATCGCTAGAAATAAAACTATCGCGGACGAGACTTATCGGAGAGCCCGAGTCGATTATCGCGTCACTAATGTATTTACAAGAGTTACCGTGCTTGTCGTAGGTTGAGATGCTCAGATCGACCATATACGGTTCGGCCAGCGGGACTGCTTGCACCACGTTCGTGGATGTGGTCCCGGCTGATTCCTTGGATACCTCTCGGGTCGGGAACTGCTTCCGCTTCGGACACTCTCTCGCCATGTGCTCCGGTGACTCGCAGATATAACAGGCGCGTTTCGGCGCCGTCGGTTGTTCACAGTGCGCAGCAAGGTGTCCGCTCTTGCGACACCTGTAGCACACCTTGTCCGCTCTCTCTCTTATCTCGGGTCGCGAACCTCCGCTCGCTCTGCCACTTTTATATTTGTCGTCAAACCTCTTCTTTGGCGCCTGGATCTTCTCGAAAGCTCCAAACAGATCCGCTGCTGTCTTAAAGTTCGTGAGTCGGGCTTGATTCTGCAGATTGATGTCGGTGACTCCTTCGATTATGTAGTCGAGCAGTTCATCTTCCGCGATAGG